AACCGGAAGAGAGTTCCACAAATGAGAAGTGCGAGAAAATAAACTGTTAGCATAAAATTTACGGCTACATCTAGCTAGCTCAACTGTAAATTGATGAGATCTTAACGCCATTCTATCATGTCATCCCATAAGTTCTGTCCGAATTTTAACTTTTTGTTAAAATGAATGAAATTTAAAGAGTATTTTATAATGTCTAATGGAGCTGAACATTATTTTTATGTTTAGATGCATTTAAACTGATCAAATTTTATTTCAGAAAACAATAAAATTAAATTTTGTTTGATTAAAACCCTGCTAACATGGAAGTAGCCAAGAATCATTTGAGGCACATAATGCTTTATGAGTTCAAGAAAGGAAACTCAGCAGCCGAAGCGGCTAGAAACATTCACTCAGTTTATGGAGAGTAATGTGTGAATGAAAGAACTTGCAGAAGATGGTTTGCAAAATTCAGAGGTGGAGATTTCATCCTTAAAGATGAAGATCGAACCGGACGTCCAGTTGAGTTTGATGAAAAGCTTCTTGAAGCAGCCCTTAAAGAAAATCCTGCTTTATTAGTTGAGGAATTGGCAGTGGTTCTCAGTTCAAACCATACAACTGTTCATCGTCATCTTCAACAACTTGGAAAAGTTCCTAAACTTGGAAAATGGGTGCCTCATGAATTGTCTGAAAACAACCTCCAATACCGAGTTGACATCTGCTCTTCTCTCCATACTCGCCAACTTGTTTCACCTTTTTTGGATAGACTTGTGACTGGAGACGAAAAATGGATCTTTTATCGAAATGTTAATCGTCGTAGACAGTGGCTTGGTAAAGGGGAAGGACCCCAGCCACAGTCGAGAAGGGAACTTCATGGGCAGGAGGTTATTCCTTGGCGATCAGGTGGGATCGCCAAGGAATAATCCATTTTGAATTCTTACCACCTAATGCAACAATTAATGCTCAAATATACTGTCAGCAATTAGAGCGTTTGAACCAAGCTTTGAGGAAAAAAAGACCTGCTCTAGTGAATCGAAACAATGCGCGACCCCACACAGCAAGAATCACGTCACAAGAGATCGAAGAACTTGGTTGGGAGAAAATTCCTCATCCACTTTATTCTCCCGATCTTGCTCCTTCAGACTACGATTTGTTTCGTAGCTTACAGAATCATTTGGAAGAAACAGCTTTTGTAACACAGGAAGAGGTTAAAACTGACATTTGTGAGTTCTTCGAATCAAAGCCAAAAGAATTTTACAGTAATGGAATTAGTAAGCTTGTTAATAGATGGAAAGAAATCATAGATAATCAGGAAAAATACATTGTTGATTGAATCTGTAATTAAACGTAACATTTGGTCACTTGTTTTCTTTATTCAAAATTCGGACAGAACTTATGGGATGACCTGATAGTACTGCGCTTAAATTCCAAAAGTCTAGGTACCATAGCGAAGAGCTCATCCGAACAATTGTCATGAAAATATTTATTGAAAAGACACAGAGTTGTGATTCTATGATTATGTAGCGCCAGTTCACGACGTTCGAAGAAGAATTGTTCTCGTTAAGACCTACAGGTCTTATTCGCCTAAATTCATTTTTGTCATTTAACTACGATAGCAGCTATATATAGATGATAGTTTAGATAATTATGAACAAGTTTGGCGCCATGTATGATATCTATATGAAAGTCTCGGTCTGACAAGATTATTTAAGAACATGATTCGAGTTTTTAAGTTAATGTTTTGGTTTCGTAGCATCTTGAGGTGTTGGACAAATCAACCCCGAGTTCAACTTATTCTATGTTCAATTTCAATTTCCTTATCTCCTCTACTAAATTTCTTAAAACTTATTCATACATCGAGGTATTTGGAGTGTTTAGAATTGATTATTTGCACATCCCGAAGCTTAACGATAGGTTCAGATTAAATGCCATCACTGCATTCCCAGTTTCCCCAATGTTTAGACTAAACGAGTGGATTGTGTGGGGCAACAATTTCATACAAAATAATTTTACTAAGGACGGAATACCTCAAAACTTCACAAAGAAAAGCAATGCTAGATGGACTAGTCAGCGTAAGGTAATGGTTAACGAAATAATCGGGTTACTATTACTGCCGAGTAAAATGTTCAGTCCTCACTGGTTTCTCCATACTTGAGGCCGTGTGCCAAAGTAAGTTTCTGTTTTTGTGTCGTCTCCCTTCAGAATGTGCGTGATCATGACTCTCCACAGCTCCCTATATTTCGTAGCTCTTAGCAATTTTAGCTCTCCTTTCCCTTGACACTCCTGTCATCCCTTTAAATAAAATTGGTAGGTGGCTTACTCTTTCTTACCCTCTGCCCCTCTTGGCTTAAATACCCTGTGAATGTTAAATTCTCTAAACCTTATTTCCTCATTATGCGTCCCAGAAATGTAAGACTGAAAACACGCGGAAACACCGGTTCTCATACAATCACCGAAGTTAAGCAACGTCAAGCCTGGTCAGTATCTAGATGGGTGGCAGCTTAGGAATACCAGGTGCTGTAATCGTGGATATGAGAGTGGCGTAATGTATAATGGCTCGGTATTGTTCATCGGAGAGCCGTGTTCCAATTTCGATCGGGTTCTTGAGGTGGGTGACTGTTTGGGAATACCAGGTGCTGTGAACTTGGATATACAGTTGGTGTAAGGGATAATGGCTCGGAATTGGAAATTGGAGAGCCGAGTTCCAATTCAAGTCGAGTTCGTTATATTCACTTTCGCGCAAATATCCTTGGGAAAGGCATGAATCCACCTCTTCTCCTCAACTCACAATTATGGATTACTAGAACTGGTATCAGTAAGTCAGTTATTATCTCCAAAACTTTCTTACAATCTAAAATATTTTCTCGGTTTAAATAAGATGCAAAAGCTTGATAAGCCATAAAAAAATCAATCAATCTGTCAGTCAATCAAACAATATAGACAAAGGCATAACCCGTCATCAGCCACATCATTGGCATAACTGACATCAACACCATTACCAGGTCATAACCATCCGATATCACTAACACAATTATCATAATTTAATAAGTTAGTTTAATTAGTAAGACATTTATCCCTAAACCATTATTATCTCCACCACCTCCACCACCACCACCTAAATCTTACAATCTAAAAATACTTTCTATCTTTAAATAACCTGCAAAGGATTCAGAAGTCGTATAAAATTAATCAAGCAATCAAACCAGAAATGTTAACATTCTGATTGTAAGTGTCGTTTTTGCCTCCATTTTTATTAGAACTTCTTCATTGCTCACATGCCCCGTCCGTGGTATTCTCAGCATTATTCTTCTCTGTTGCTTCAAGTTTTCTCTTCATCTGTGAGGAAATGTTTCAGTATTCGTTGCCATATAGGAGGCTTGATATTACTTAACAGTTCAAAGAGCTGTACTGATATTTATTATATGTTCAACACTCTGATTGATATTACATAGCTGCTAAGCACTTTGATCCTAACAAAATCTTTTTTTTCTCTTAATAGTTTGTTTAACTTTTGGAAAGAATCTTTCGCTGTTCCAATAGATCTTCAGATTTCACTGTGACATTTTATGTCATCTTTTAATTAAAACACTTACTATCTGAGCAAATAATATCAGCCACGTTGGATAACACACTCGATACAAGAAATAAACATATACTCTTGTGAAATAGACGCATTATTAAATCGTTTGCTTCATGATGATATATATATATATATTTAAGTTAGGAATATCCGAACAGTGACGTTCCATATCACGTGACGTCCGCGTCTCGCGACGGACGCTACTTGCTAACAAACAGTAATTTTAATTTATTTGTAACAAACAGTTATTTCTAATGAAAGATTGAGGGCAATCTGAAATATCAAATATGTATATAAATAAATAAATACTTTCATAAAATAAAACATTATTATTTTTTAATTTGCATATATATTTATATATATATATATATATATATATATATATATATATATATATATATATATATATTTTAATGTGCCTATCATTTAAAATTCAGCTTAGTATGCACAAAACCGTAGCATTTAGTCATCCACTGATAGCAGAAATGGTTACACCAATTACCGTAATTCCCCATGTATAATACGCATTTTTTCTAAAAAAAAAAAACAATAAGCAAAATCAGGGGTGGGTATTATGCACAGCTACAAAAAATCTTTAAAAATATTGCCGTAAAATAAAATAAGAATTATCATAAAACTAAATTAGAATAATATTATTCTATGTTTAAAACTATTTTTTTAGGAAATGCTGGCCGTAATGAAATTGGTTAGGTACAATTTATAGGGTTTGATTACCAAACAAGGGGTGCGTATTATGCATGAGTAGAAGCATTTTCCCACACTATCAGCACAATTTTAGGTGTGCGTATTATGGATGAAGGCGTATTATACATGAGGAATTACAGTAGTATGCAACAGTTTGCGGTCTGTGAAATTGCTGGCTCTAACACTAGTGTTATAGATATATACCAAACTTTAATGTGGCATGAGGACCTCATTTTTACGTACCCGGTAAGGATCAAGCCCGTTACATTAAAGAATGACTTGCATAACTATCTTAATCCCTCTTTAACTTGCATACAAAATTAAGACTAATTAAGCACAGATTCGTAATGGTAAGGGTGAGATTAACCGTTTCCATACATGTAACTTTCAGCATTCATTGACCGAATGGTTAGCATTACTGTCGGTTGAAATTTATAAAATTCTTTTCTTTCTCTCTGCCGTAATGTAACTTCCAGGTGCCTTTTCAATAAATACTTTCATGGTAATTGTTCGGGTGAACTTTTCTTTATAGAATCTAGACTTTACGAATTTAAGCGCAGTACTAGTTTAGTAACAAAATCTCATCAATTCACAGTTGAATTGCCTATATGCAACCGTAAGTTCTGCTCTAACGGTTTCTTTTCTCACACTTCTCACCTGTGGAACTCTCTTCTGGCTACATGCTTTCCAACCAACTTTGACCTTCAAAAATCTAAATGTAATGCCAATCGTTATCTCCTGTCTTATTGACTACTCTTCTTTTATTGTTCTTGTCCCTTAATAAAGTTTTTCTTTTTTTTTTATTCTTATTCTTTCACACCCAGTAACCCCTTGTGTCTTAATAGTTTTACTGTTATCCTTGGAATGAAATGCTTAAACAAAAAAAAAACAGTTTTCAGGGAAAGTAATGTTCTTTCTACTATTGATGGGAGTTTCCTTACAATTCTTTTGTTTTTGGTAGTGTGGAAAGTTAACAGCTTTATTATATTATTATTTTCTCTTCTACTTATATGTGTTATCTATCCATTTTTATGTTTTTTTTTTTGTTTTGTTTTATTTGTTTTAGTTCCTTGGTTTTTGTTTCTGTTTTTTTATTATTATTATTTATTTTGGTAAAGATCTTTATGATTTAGTAACGCCAGTCTATAGGGTCTGAGGAAGGATCTTTTTCTTTCAGATTCATAGCCATTTTTAACCATCGGTTTGAGAAAACGGTTGTATACAGATGACCGTTGCGACATTTCTCAAGAAGTTGGACGCCATGTATGACATCCATATGAAATTCTAGATCTGACCAGGCTATTTCAGAACACGACACGAACTTTCAAGTCAATATTTTCGTTTTGAAGCATCTTGCGGTGCTGGATAAAAGTATCCCAAGCGTAAACTGTCTAGTGATCAACTATATGCTTATTTCTTACATTAGTATAATATAGATTAATCAAACACAGGTCAATAAAATGCGGATCCAAATTGAGGGATGAACTTTTTTCTCTATTTGCCGTGTTTCTTCAAGACGTTGGCAATCCTGGCTCACCACAAGTTCATGCGTTCTCTAGCTCTTAATAAGGTTTGCTTGTTTATTTACATTATTTACATTGTTAGGGCTCGTTGGATAAAAGCGTTGGTTGGATCCGGTGACTTAACCGTTGTGAGTTCAATACCTGGCTACTGCAGTGGTGAACAAAAACTTGGAGAGTTGAGTTAAAGGGAGATAACTATGACATCCGTAAGAGGCATGGCACGCGGAACTAGAACAATCTACCCCGGTGGACGAAATGAAGGGTTCAGTTCGAAATTCCAATCGCCTGAAGAAGGCCGAAACGTCGTGAATATGACAGTAAAGATGAGGGCAACAGTCCGAATAATGTAAATAATTACAATACCTCATACCAGAAATATAGACAGATGTTTGCTTGTTTGTTTTTGCTATCCCTTGCTATTCTCCTGTTCTGTCAACCATTTTCACAAGCTCATTAAGCAGATTATTCACAGCTTTCTCCTGTACCTCTTGCCTTCAATATATCCTGCGAGTGTCAAATTCTCCAAACCTTCTTTCCTCAATAATTGCACTAAAAGTTTCAACTGTCACTTTCTGATTTTTACGTACAGGCGTCCGTTTTGTTTCCATTAGCCTTAAAACTTTCTCGCTACTCGTATGTTCAGACCATGGTATTCTCAGAACACTTCCTTAGAATTACATTTCTGTAGTCTCAAGCCTCTTCATCTGCGAGGAAAACCGATATTACCCGACAGTTCAGCACTCTTTTCATCGTTTCGAAAGACATTTTCCTCTTTCTTAGTAATTTGGCCATGAGTCACTATGTACGATTTTGAAACTGGCTGAATAAGTATCGTCCTACAATAGACACCGTATAAAGATTTACCGACTTCGTTTTCGTCTTGCTCAGTGCAAGAATACAAGGGACACTAAGTTAAGATTGAAGACAAGACACTAACGATGGATTTTTAAGACTAGCTGGATAACGATCATCCTATGGCAGGCGTCGCATATAATGATCTCGCTTGGTCTTCACGATATGAAAGGAATGAACATACAACAATAATGTGTATCTTTAAACATTTTTGGTTGACGTTTACCCTATGATTGGCGTCATTTAATAATCTACCTACCTAGCTTCTTTTTACGTAAAGCAACATTAAGTAAATACCCTGTGAGAATTGAACTACATACAATAAAGAGAAATTTTAAAAATAGCTCGTTAACCATAGCTCCATTTAAGATATTTAAATAGGGTTTTAATACTAACTGGTTAACCTTCGCATTATGTGTGTCGTACAGAAATTTTCCGAACTAGGTAGGCTTTCACAAGGACGCAGGTTAGGATTGAAGTTTTCTACACTAACGAGGGATTTGTGACTCAAGCATACTAATCCTTAAATAGTAATCAATATTATGTAGTTCTATTTCCCCTGCTATTGATTGGGTACTCACGGGATATTTCTTTTAAAGAATTTCAATCATTGTAAATTATACATCCCAATTAGTGGTCAGACTGCTGAGGGTGCGCGATTTTTATCAATACGCCACTACTAGATAGATTACCGGCCAAGACTAAAAAGCGTATATCTGCTCATGAGGCGTGGACTTCGTATTTACTCAATCATCGAACAGTTGCCCACAAGACTTGGGTCAACATGTGATATGGTTTTCAGGTACTTGCCACATGTAGGGAACCTCTCCCCAGGCTAATATTACCAAAAGGTCACCTCCTAAA